CCCCGAGCCCTAAACCCTGTAGACCCTCGTGCGCGGCTAGGGTTTAGGGTTGTCTACTGTGGCATTTGAGCTCCCGCAGGCTGCCCTTACCATAACTAGAGGGCTTAGGGGTCAAGGTGCAGGGTTTGGCGTTTAGGATTTAGGGTTTAGGGTTTAGGGTTTAAGCGAATCCCTCTAACCCAAAGCCCCAAGAACATGCTGGGGTGCCTGAGAGGCGGAGGCCCAGCCAGAGATGAAGTCGCGCAAGAAGAGGAGGAGCTGCTCATGTCCCTCAAGATGTGGGTGGGGGGCTTTTTGGGGGTAGACAGCGCGGAGTATACCATCTTGCGGGTATATTCGGGGACCCTTTTTTGTGGGAAATACCCTTGGTGGGTAAGCCCTAAACCCTAAACCCCTGAACCCTAAACCCCCAAGCCCTAGTATAAAGCCCTCAACCCCAGCCTGCAGGAGGATCATCGAGTCTTCGAGTTCCAGCGATGGCGTCGAGAAAGAAGCTCTCAAATGGGTTGTTGGGTTTGTGGGATTTGTAGGGTGTATGAGTAAGTAGGGGTTGCCTCAGTGAGGGCTTTTATGGGCTTGTGAAGGGCCACTGAAAGAGGGTTTAAGGTTGAGGCTTTTCGTGTTTTCGGGCTTAGGGTGATCCTCGGGCTGCCTCGGTGCCCCTGCCCGTGTGCCTTTTGTCTGTTCGGGTACCCTGAGCATCAGTCTGAAGCAATAAGCATAGCAAGAAGTCCTCTTAGGAAGTGTGTCTTTTCTGCTTATATACATTACAGACTCCGATTGTATTTGAGCTGTCCTGTTTCGCTGCGCGTTGCCGGGCCCGTTGCACAAGGGGGCATGATGGCAGCATGAGCATGGCAAGTCACATGACACTCCGCGAACACGACGCAACGTAACCCAACCATACTCAACCAAAGCTGCGTGTTTATGGCACACAGGTATGCATGTCCGGATAGGAGGCAGCAACATGCACAGCCATGGTGTTTGGCACCAAGCCGCAACAGGCACCGTGAGACGGAGGAGTCCTCATCGTTGAAGTCGTCCTCCTACACAAGTTTGAGTTGGGAGTTAACGAAAATAAGGGAGCCCTATAAACGACCCCCCAAAAAGCAATAAGGTCCCCCCTAATTTCGGAAACCATGCCTTGCAGGTACCAAGCCTCTCCTTGACCAACACCTCCGTGGCTCAGCAATCGCTGCTGGATGCCTCAACAGGTGCTGAGACAAGGCGAGGCCGCCGTGCAGTGGGTTGAGGGTTTAGGGCTTAGGGCTTAGGGTTTAGGGGTTAGGGGTTTAGGGTTTTGGGTTTAGTGCTTCGGTTTTTTTCTTTGACAGACTCGTTCCTCGAACCCTGAACTACCTTAAGAACCCAAAGCCAAAGCCGACTTTAGTGTCGGCTACCGAAGAATCCGAGAGGGGGGATTTACAGTAGTAACCTACAAAAAGTATGCTTGGGGTTCTGAAGGTAAACCCTAAGCGCCCTAACCCCTAAACCTATAACTCTAAACCCTAAACCCTAAACCTACCGAAACCCTAAACCCTAAACGCCCTAAACGCCAAAACTGCGCTTTGACAAGTAGGCGGCCGCTCACCAGCCGACTGCCCCCGCCCTTTCCGCTGGCAACCTCAGTTCAAGACTGACAGATTCACTGCTTGTGCGGTCCAGGGTTTAGGGTTTAGGGTTTAGGGTTTAGGGCACTCCTAACCCGAAGATACCTGCTTATAACCCAAAGATCTGGACCCCACCTTGGGGGTTAATTTGATCCCCAAGGCAAGTGCTCTGTCGAAGGTGCAAGTGCATGGTGTGTTTAGGGTTTAGGGTATAGGGTTTAGGGTGGCACGTGTTGAACAGTGCGAACACTCCACACACGATTGATGCAGTTCAGGATTCCTAGCAATCAGCTGATCGAGTTGCTGCTATACATCCGTGGTGCCCTTCTTGTGCCCTTAATGTCCTAAACCATTCTCCCGAACGTCCTGAACCCTAAACCTAAACCCTAAACCCAACTGTCCTAAATCCTAAACCCTAAACCCTAAAGCCTAAAGCCTAGAGGCCCGAAGCCCTGAACCCCTAAACGGCGCGGAGTCCGCAGCACTCTCCCAGGCCAAGGACGCCTCCTTCGCACCGTAGCTCCGCACACCGCAGCTCCGCACGTCACTCGCCGGGGCCCATGTCAAAAGACCAGCTTTAGGGTTTAGGGTTAGGGTTTAGGGTTTAGGGCTTAGGGCTTAGGGTTTAGGGTTAGGGTTTAGGATTTAGGGTTTAGGGTTTAGGGCTTAGGGCTTAGGGCTTAGAATTGATAAACGGGTTTAGGGTTTCGGGTTTGATACAGGGCCTAGGGGACCAAAGGGTTGATCCCAAATACGGGCTGAGGGCTTATAGGGGCGTTTGCCTTACATTAAAAAGCCCTAAGCCCTAAACCCTAAACCTTGTAGAGTAGGTAACCTTTAACCTTGTTGGGGCAATGTAAGCCCCTCATAATCCCAAAGGTTAACCTGTAGTTCTCCTAGGTACTGGACAGCTAGGTTACTGTTTCAGGAGGATGCTCCTTTATCGAGTACCAGAAGGGGGCTTTTTGTCGTTAAACCCTAGACCCTAAACCGAAACCCTAAACCCTAAACCCTAAACCCTTGCGGGTCATAAGACTTCTCCGTTCTTAGGATCAACAAAGGGGGGGGTCTTGTCTTGGAAGCTTTCCAGAGGGTACAGGAAGGTCAGCGCAGGCCTTATCTTCGGATTAAGAGCTGGATGAAGAACGAGGGTTTAGGGTTTAGGGTGTAGGGTTTATAGGGTTTAGGATTTAGGAATGCTGTAATCACCACAGAACTACACACTCTGTACGTGCCGAAACCGAGTTGTATTGAGGGTTCTATTGAACAAACACACGGCTCCATAGTACCACAGGAACCCGCAAAAAAGATACCATCCTAAACCCTAAACCCTAAAGTATTTCCAATCTTGTCGATGCATGGGCCGGGTTTTTGCCTTTCGAAGTATGTCTTGGGCTACAAACAAGGAGGCTTCGAAACCCTAAACCCTCAACCTTAAGGCAGGCTTTAGAGTTTTCTACTATTTGCTTAAGGACCTCCCAAAAAAAGTAAAATATTCTGCTGTCTAGGGGTAATATAGGGATTTTAATGTTTCATGCTTTTGAGTTCTGTAGAAAATAGGTAGTTTCCCCTTGTTTGCGCCCTATATTCCCTCTGAAACCCAAGGGCCCATACTTCAGAACACTTTAAAGCAGGTAACCCTAGATTTGGAGTTAGGGCAAACCCTAAACCCTAGACCCTAAACCCTAAGCCCTAAACCCTAAACCCTAAACCCGCTTAGGTTCTAGGGTTTAGGGTTTGGGGTTTGGGGTTTAGGGTTTGGGGTTTGGGGTTTAGGGTTTGGGGTTTAGGGTTTAGGGTTTGGGGTTTCGGGTGTCTGCAGTTTGACATCGGCCCTTAGCCTGGGTAGTTGCTGAGCGTATCCAAGCGCCGAGGCACAAGTCAAACACTACCGGCAAGCCCTGAACCCTAAACCCTAGACTTTAAAACCCTAAACCCAAAACGCTGAACCCTAAACCCTAGACTTGAAACCCTAAACCCTAGATTTTTAAACCCTATGAACCCTAAACGCTGAACCCTAAACCCTATCTGCAAGGCAGCAAACCCACAGTGGAAGCGCGGGAACTTGGCACAAGGCATGGTGAGCCCTCTATGCTGTGACCCTCTATACCGTGTTCCTTTTTTTTTCGAGGGGGGGGGGTGGAGTTTCGGGTTTGGGGTTTTTATTTGGGTTTGGGGGGGGGGGGGTGAGTTTAGGGTTTGGGGTTTATAAATTGGGGTTTAGGGTTTAGGGTTTGGGGGGGAAGGGGGGGTTGACCTTATGAATACGAAAACAGTGCAACAGGGCCCCCCCCACCCCCCCCCCCCCAAACGAAAACGGAACCGCAACCTGCCACCCCAGAAGCTGATTTGGGGGTTAGGGATTTGGGGTTTTACGCTTTGGGGCGTTTAGGCTTTTGGGTTTTTTTGGGGTTTTGAGTTTTTGGAACCCTAAACCCTAAACCCTAAACGGGGGTGGTTCTAAACGATGGTCCCTGTCGGGGTGCCGTGGTAATACGAGGGCCTCGTACGTACAGTTAGGGTACCCGAACAGGGCCCACGATTTGGAACCCTAAGCCCCACGACCCTCTAACCCTAGCACCCCAGCCACTAAACCCCACAGTAAACCGCAAGCCCCAAACTTCGTTTTCTTGACCCTAAGCCCTGAACCCTGAACCCTGAACCCTAAACCCTAACCCTAAACCCTAAACCCTAAACCCTAAACCCTAAACCCTAAACCCTAAACCCTAAACCTCGGCCTCGCGAGGCCACGACGGATTCGTTTCACTCGTCCCAGCCACCGAGGCTTCGGAGTCCGGGGCCCCTGGAGGTTTAGGGTTCAGGGTTCAGGGGTTTGGGGTTTCGGGTTTAGGGTTTAGGGGTTGAGGATTTGGGGTTTAGGGGTTTGGGGTTTAGGGTTTAGGGGTTGAGGATTTGGGGTTTAGGGGTTTGGGGTTTAGGGTTTAGGGTTTAGGGGTTGAGGATTTGGGGTTTAGGGGTTTGGGGTTTAGGGTTTAGGGTTTTGGGTTTGGTTTAGGGGTTTAGAGGATTTGGGGTTGGGGTTTAGGGGTTTAGGGGTTTTTTAGGGTTTAGGTTTTGAGGTTTGGTTTGGGGTTTAGGGGTTTGGGGTGAGGGGTTTAGGGGTTTAGGGTTAGGTTTAGGGTTGAGGATTTGGGGTTTAGGGGTTTGGGGTTAGGTTTAGGGTTGAGGGGGGTGGGGGTTAGGTTTGGGGGCGGGGTTGGGGTTAGGGGTTGGGGTTTGGGGTTTTAGGGGTTGGGGGTTTGGGGGTTGGGGCTTTGGTGGGGTTTGGGGTTTGGGGGTTTGGGTTTGGGGGTTTGGGGGTTTGGGGTTGGGGGTTAGGGGGTTAGGGGGTTAGGGGGTTAGGGGTTTAGGTGTTTAGGGGTTTAGAGGTTTAGGGGTTTAGGGGTTTAGGGGTTTAGGGGTTTAGGGGCTTAGGGGTTTAGGTGTTTAGGGGTTTAGGGGTTCAGGGGTTCAGGGGTTCAGGGGTTCAGGGGTTCAGGGGTTCAGGGGTTCAGGAATGTCGGTGGCAGATGATGGGACACTTTAAGGTCACAGGCTTGCAGTGTTACAGGTACCCTCAGAATCCCCATCTAAGGAACTCGCCAGTTTCTGTATAAGGGTTTAGGCTAGGTTTAGGGTTCGGGTTTACCTGGCCTACCGTTTAGTAGTAACTACCCCTTACTTAGTAGGCATAACCTTTCAGCTGTAGGTAAAGAGAGTCCCAGGTGGGGTCATACTATCCCTAAACCCTAAACCCTAAACCCTAAACCCTAAACCCTAAACCCTAAACCCTAAATCCTTCTGGCAAGGTGCGTGGGCAACTTCGCAATCATTCTCGGCACGGGGCAGAGCCAAGGCCTGGTGAGAAAGCCTCAACCTGCACCCCCAGCCCCTAAACCCCGAAACCTGAAACCCCTAAATCCTAAACACCTAGATCCCTGAACCCTCAACCCTAAACCCCAAACCTTAAACCCCCAAGCGCCGAAACCCCTAGACCCCAAACCCTCAACCCCCAAACCCTCAACCCCCCAAACCCTCAAACCCCCAAACCCCAAACCCTCAACCCCCAAACCCAAAACTAAACCCTAACCCCTAAACCTCAAACCCCAAACCCCCAAACCCTCAACCCCCAAACCCTCAACCCTCAACCCCAAACCCCTCAACCCCCAAACCCTCAACCCCCAACCCCCAAACCCTCAACCCCCTTGCCTTGCCTAGCAAAACCCTAAACCCTAAACCCTCAACCCCCCAAACCCCCTAACCCCCAAACCCTCAACTCCCCCCTTCCCTTGCCTAGCACAAAGCCGCCTACAGCGACGTTTAGGGTTTAGGGTTTAGGGTTTAGGGTTTAGGGTTTAGGGTTTAGGGTTTAGGGTTTAGGCTATGCGCGCAGGGCGACGAAGCTTTCCGCAGATCGGAGAAGACCAGGCCAGAAAGATCCGGCAGCCCAGAGCCTCCCCATGGTTCAGGGTTTATGTGTTTTTAGGGTTTTTAAGGGTTTTTTGGTTTTTTTAGGGTTTATAGGGACTTAGGGTTTTTAGGGTTCTTTTAGGTTTTTTTTAGGGTTTTTGGGTTTTTTAGGGTTGTTTTTAGGGTTTTAGGGTTTTAGGGTTTTTGGGTTTTGGGGTTTTAGGGTTTTAGGGTTTCTAGGGCTTTTTTAGGGTTTTTGGGTTTTTGGGTTTTTGGGTTTAGGGTAAGCCTAAACCCTCGAAGGTGTCTTCATGGTTGTTTGGGTTTTCTTTTGCATGTGTGTTTTTCTTTCACTAGGGTCAGGCTGAGTTGTGCTGTACTTGGAAGGTGTCTGGGTGGGGCTGCGGGGGGGCAGTTTAAGGCAACCCAAAACCGCACAAGTGGGCTTCAGGTCTGTCGGCAACATGCCCGACCTCGGTCTCCATCACTCTGAAGCAAAGGCAGGGTCTGCAGAGATTTGCCGTGGCTTGGGGTTCAGAGTTTAGAAGACCTGAATCCTAAACCCCATGTTCCATTGCTAGGTTACAGCAGCCCTGGGTCTCCGCAAACCCGAAACCTCCGGCCCGGTACGACAACACGGGGTTCTAAACAACCAGGGGCGCCGATCTCGGGTTCCCTGAATGAGGGCTGATTAGGAAATGCCCAACAACAACAACAACAACAACAACAACAACAACAACAACAACAACAACAACAACAACAACAACAACAACAACAACAACAACAACAACAACAACAAGAATAACAAGAACAAGAACAAGAACAAGAACAACAACAACAACAACAACAACAACAACAACAACAACAACAACAACAACAACAACAACAACAACAACAACAACAACAACAACAACAACAACAACAACAACAACAAGAACAAGAACAATAACAAGAACAAGAACAAGAACAAGAACAAGAACAAGAACAAGAACAAGAACAACAACAACAACAACAACAACAACAACAACAACAACAACAACAACAACAACAACAACAACAACAACAACCACAACCACCACAACGACAGCGACAGCGACAGCGACAGCGACAACGACAACGACAGCGACAGCGACAGCAACAGCAGCAGCAGCAGCAACAGCAACAGCAACAGCAACAGCAACAGCAACAACAACCGCAACAACAACCACAACAACAACCACAACGGCCACAACGGCAACGGCAACGGCAACTGCAACAAAAAACAGCAACAGCAGCAGCAACATCAACAGCAACCACAACCACAACGACAACGACGGAGGTTCCAACACGATGCCGGAACATGCCAGAACTGGCTGACTGCGGGCCCAAGCCAGCAAGGGACCTTTTAAACAGCGCTCACACTCTCTGCACTTCCTCTCTTCGTCCGATGGCAACTCGCGCCTCCATTTTATGCCTTCTTGCCTTGGGGGCATACGCAGATGTGAGTCCAGATTGAAAGTCTGGCATGGGCTGTCGGGTTCAAATGTCGTTTGCGGGACCTAAGCTAAGCGGTTTCCTTACAGAGGGATTACGGGAGATCCTAACTTTATGCTTGTGTTTAGTTTTTTGTTGTGTGTGCTTTTTTTGGGTTCTTGCTCTGAGCGGCCCCTTTGCACGCAACCCAGGATATCTCAAGGTCTCGACCAAGATGTTTGCGACACTGCAGACTGCGCGGTCAGGATGCTGCAGGTTGCTTCGGGAAAAACCCCCGAAGGACCCAAAGGAGAAGCACTGGCGGAGGAAAGCAGTACGAGGAGCATCGTGGACGCCGGTGAGGACGCTTAGGAAATCTTAGTGGCTGAGCAGGTAACCTTTAACCTTTGGGGGTTTATAGAATACTACCAATAAAAGGTTAAACTTTTGTGGGTTTATATATAATCCTACCATAGTTAAATGAAAAAGCTTAACCTTTCTTCGGCCAGGAAACTCGGCAACTAAGGACTGGGGCGGCCGCGGATTTGGGTCTGGCCCGTGCAAGGCGACATGGGACTTAGCAAGTACTAAGCCCTAAACCCTATAAGCCCTACAACCTAAAGCCCTAAACCCTAAACCCTAAACCCATTAAAAGCCCTAAATTCCCAATGCACCTTAAGCACCTGAATTGGGGCGTTGCGGTGCTCAGAGGCTTGCTTAGAGTAGCCTGCTTGCTGACCAAACCTGAGAAACGAGCACCTTGCCAGGGATCCTTGGGTTGATCCTTGTGGGTTAAGGGTTTCGGGTAGTTTAGAGTTTCGGGTTTGGGGTTTAGGGTGCTTTATACAGGGTTTGGGGTTTGGGGTTTGGAAGATCCTTGGCTTCGGGGTTCCTGGGGTTTGGGGTCCTTGGTTTGGGGTTTAGGGTTGACAGTACTGGTAGGTAGGTTAAGTCATATCTTTAAGGTAGTGAGAAGTCGTATCACAACAGCGTTTACAAGGGGTTGAGCATATCCTGATAGCATCGAAGAATGCATCAGTTTATGAGGTAGTATTTGTTGCGTTGTGATTAATGTGGATAGGATTGTTTTTTGAATGATTTCGTCTCCAGGTTTCAAACGTTTAGATGGGTCCTAGCCTTCAACGTTTGTGGAGGTTTAGGGTTTAGGCTAGGGTTTAGGGTTTAGGGTATAGGGTTAGCATGGAGTAGCTCTACTTTCCCAAGATTGCCTTCGTAGCGTTTGAGAAATGGAGTTCGGTTCGCATCTTGTCTGGGTATCCAGGATCCTGTTTGGTTAAGGGTTTAGGGCTTAGGGTTTAGGGCCTGGGGTTTTGGGTTTTTTTTTGGCCGTTTAGGGGTTTTGGGGGGGTTAGGGTTTTGGATTCGGGGTTTAGGGGTTTAACGTTCTGGGTTCACCGAAGGGGATATGAGCTCGAGTCAATAGGCAGCATGTCAAAAGAGGACGTAGGATTCTGTCCCTAAGCCTTAAAACCCTAAAACCCCAAACCCTAAACCCTAAACCCTAAAACCCCAAACCCTAAACCCTAAGTCTCTATCTAGGGATCATGTTATGGCCCTTGTTGGGGTCATTAATCAGGGAACCAGAAAAAACCAGAACCAATGTCCTTCGGGTTAGTGATGTTCAGTGACGCTAGTTCGTGTCTTTTTTCTCCCCTTTGTGTGAACAACTAAGTCCAAAACCAGCGACGCTGCGACGATACTGCGATGCAAGAACTTCGACGATGACTATGCTCATTGCGCGGGAATTGACGCCTGCTTCTGGGTCGGAGGCGGAGGCGGAGGCGGAGGCAACGGCAACCCTAAACCCTAAACCCTAAACCTTAAACCCCCACTGCCAAGCACCTTCCAACACTGAAGCACTCATTCAACCTCAAGCCTTAATCATTTCTTGGGCCCAAAAGCAACCCAGCCAGAATGATAAACTCTGTGGAATGGCCAAGGCAATGGCTACGGCCAAGGCGGGGGAAAATGCCAATCAAATCGCTTTGACAACCTTTTCGGGCTGGCGCCTAGCTGACAGTTCGGCATCTGTTTTTCTTTTTTAATCGTAAACTTTTGGGTCCCTAATTCAAGGGTCCTTAGACTAAGGTTTAGGGTCTATATACTTAGTATCCTTTGTGCTCAGAAACCACCAAAACTCCATTAGACAAAAACATAGCCCCGGGAGATCCAAATACCCCATGTAGGGCTATAGGCTTCTCCTGTTTCAGGCTGAGTGCAACGGCTTGTCTTATTGGTCCTGCCGCCAAAACAGCAACTGCCAGTTCGTCGTCAACTGAAGGCCTAAGCAGACACGTCAATGTAGTTCTTTTTTGACAGATCTATTTGACAGGTCCTGGGTAGGATCGTAGCCATCGTAACGGGCTGTTTCCGTCCTCGTGATTCCTGTCCGTTCCCTGAGCGAAGACTTTTGGTCGCGGCACATGTGAAAACAGAGCCGGTTCTCAATATTTTTGCGTAGAGCTATACCAGATTATAGTATAGTTTTGCTATAGTATAGTATCGTATAGTATATATAGTATAGTACAGTGCTTTGCTAGTCGGCCACGCTCATCTGACACGCTGTCGTAGTTTAGGTTGCACTGCTGTAACGAGTGTGTGTGTGTGTGTGTGTGTGTGTGTGTGTGTGTGTGTGTGTGTGTGTGTGTGTGTGTGTGTGTGGGTGCGCGTGCGTGCGTGCGTGCGTGCGTGCGTTCGTGCGTGCGTGCGTG